CTGGGCGCGGTGGCTCACACCTGTAATGCCGGCGCTCTGAGAGGCTGAGCTCTGTGAGGCTGGGCGCGGTGGCTCACACCTGTAATGCCGGCGCTCTGAGAGGCTGAGCTCTGTGAGGCTGGGCGCGGTCACTTATGCCTGTAATGCCGGCTCTCTGAGAGGCTGAGGTGGGTGGATCCACTGTGCTCATGAGTTTGTTACCAACCTGAACAAGCACAATACCCCGTCTGTACCAAAAACAGAAAAACTAGCCAGGCATTGTTTGGGAGGCACCTGAGTCCCAATTACTCAGGAGGCTGTGGCAAAAGGATCACTAGAGTCCAGGAGTTTGAGGTTGCTGTGAGCTGTGGCAGTACAGCACTCTACCCTTGGTAACAGAGTGAGATTCTATCTATAAACAAACAAACAAATAAAGAAAGCAAAGGTCTATGTAAATAAGAACAGTGTTTTGGTCTCTTAACTGACATGAATTGTCTCTTTGTTAATACATCAAATGTATGTCTGGTCAGTTTAACAGAGATTTAACTAAACCCCTACTTTGTACAAAGGAAGACACTGGATGTACAAAAGGGGAAAAGGCAAGATTCCTCAAGGGCATATCATGTTTACTGGATTGATGTAACAGTATACCCCAGATTTATCATGGAGCAAGCCAGTCAAGGGTTGATGTGGCCAAAGGAGTTTCTCTGGGTAGTTTGACACAAAGAAAATACCTAAGTGTGTTTTGCTTGGAAGAAGTTTCCCTTTCTTAAAGGACTGTCATATCTTACAACTCCAAGCAAAGAATCACCCAGTATCCTTATTTCAAAGTGTACAGAGTGAAATGTGGGCAGTCACAGACCTACTCACAATTGATACCTATTTGAAATGCTTTAAAAGATATTCCACACAGCCGCGGAGAGAGGTCGGAAGTGCCGTGCTCCGACCCGCTGTGCAGTGCGCATCCCGTCAAGAGCATGTGGTTTCAGGAGACAGACTACCTGGTTACAATGCCATTCTCTCCATTGCTGTGTGAGCTTCTTGTTTAGCTTCCTGTGCCTCCTTTCAGCCACCTTTACAAGGGAGGTGACAATAATAATATTCTAAAAGCAGTTTCAAAAGCAGTGAGATCACCTGTCAAATCATCTTAAAACAGTGACCGGCCCCTAATAAGTTCTTAGTTAATGTAAGCTCAGTAGTAGTAGCTGGGGGTAGTGTTAAAATAAAACTTTATGGTAAGAATGCTAACTCCTATTTAAATTTAAAAATTTACAGCCGTGAGACACACAAAATTGCAGTGTTTTATATTGCTGAAGGCCAAGAAGACAAGTGTTCGATCCTGTCCAATGAGCGAGGAAGCCAGGCCTATGAGGACTTCGTGGCGGGTCTCGGGTGGGAGGTACGTGTTCCATCCAGCTGCTGCTTACTGACTGGTGGCAGCATGTGTACAAACCAGGCTTTGTGTGTTTTTACATATGTTTTTATGTGCAAAAATAACATGAGTAGAGATCTAGACCTGGAGAACTTACTGAATTCTTTCTTCACATCTATTAGTTGCTTTTTAGTACTTTATACATGAACTTTTGTTTCATCTTAACTTTCCTCTCAGTATTTTTTTATTTGCCTCTTATAAGAACTGCATAGTCAGATGGGCTTACCCAGCCCTAGTCAGTTCGTAGCGAGAGAAAACAAGTGTGGGCAGTGACTTTGGCCACAATATAGAAATTGAAGAATTCAGTGACTTTGTGAAAAGGCACAGAAAGGGTTGAATGAAGTCAATAGTTGCCATGAAAATAGAACATAGTAACCATGAAGGTTTAGCTATTAGCCTGTTTCCCTAAGGTAGATCCCAGGATGATTGATATTAAAAAAAAAAAGTTGGCTCAGCGCCTGTGGCTCAAGTTGCTAAGGCGCCAGCCACATACACCCAAGGTGGCGGGTTCGAATCCAGCCCGGGCTGCCAAACAACAATGATGGCTGCAACCAAAAAATAGCCAGGCGTTGTGGTAGGCGCCTGTGGTCCCAGCTACTTGGGAGACTGAGGCAAGAGACTCGCTTGAGCCCAGGAGTGGGAGGTTGCTATGAGCTGAGATGCTACGACACTCTACCCAGGGGGACAGCTTGAGGCTCCTGTCTCCAAAGGAAAAAAAAATTTATTTTTTCTTTAATAAATGATACTCTGATGTATAGACATATATGCATTTATACATAGACACACATCTCATCTCTCAGAAACATACATCTAAAGGAAAACATATCCCTAGGATCTGAAAGAATTCAGAGTAGTTAGAGTGAAAATCAGCATATCCAGAACGATGTTTTATTTGTCATTACTTTTGTTTGAGTTTCGCAGTTATCTGTGCTATGGGAAACTCTGGAGGTGGGCACAGGGTAAGAGTACATCCAGGTCATCACTACGCTTTCTCACAAGTCAAGTCAGTTTTAATCTGAAACAGTTATTGCACTTCCAGTAAGTCATGGTTTTCACTAATAAGGTTGCTTCTCCTTTGTCTTAGAATACATTCATTCCTGTATTTTTTTTTTTTTTTTTGAGACAGAGCCTCAAGCTGTCCCCCTGGGCAGAGTGCTGTGGCATCACAGCTCACAGCAACCTCCAACTCCTGGGCTCAAGCGAGTCTCCTGCCTCCGCCTCCCAAGTAGCTGGGACCACAGGC